TAGAATAAAACAGAAATGTCTCAATATGAGAGACTGGGCCACACACACACAGCTCCCCAATCTTTTATTTTCCATGGCAAACAAAAAGATCGCCATTCGATTCAGTGTAAATCTAACAAATCAAAACATGCAGTGCTACCAGCAGCCATAAGAAGCTGCTATTGGCTGACTGATGAGTTGAGCTGCTGTGAGACTCATTGCACGGTCGTCCACTGTGAGATGGAGGACTCCAACCAGAACCTGCAGCAGGAGGAGAGCCAGTGCTCCATTTTCGCAAACCCTAGTCCAATATGGTGGCGCCCGTGTACATCCAGCTTCGTGACAAGAAAGCCAATATTTGCACCACGACTCCGTGTCAAACTATATTTAGTATCATTAATAAATTTAGACAATGTAGCTGCTCCACATGCACACCATGCTGCAGCTTGTAGCGATTTTTGGGTGTCATTTAATTTTCCTTTCAGGATATCAGGAACTGGCCTCCTGACCATCTCAATCCAGCCTCCAGGCCAAATTTTCCCCATGTGTGTTTTCAATTCAGCGGCTAATCTGCAGTAAAGACAACAGGAATGATGCCACATCTCAGCAAAGGAGTTCTGTTTTTTTGCGCGCAGGTTCACCGTCATGGCTTCTGAGCCATCATTAATCCACCCGTTTCCTTCTTCGTGTGACAAGTGAAAGTGATCTTTATTGACTCAATGAGCCACAAAGACTACACAGGCAAGAGGAATGCTAAATGGAAGAGGTGACTGAACAAACATGAGATCATTGTACATGTTACCCTACAGGTAAAACCACTGTAGGGTTTTTCCACTGACCCAGGTTGGCCGTGATCACTCGGGACATCTTACATCCAGTCACCATCTCTGGAGTTCTGTCTGTGGTTTGTCAGATTTCAGCTTTATGCTTCCGTTTACTGAACAAGGAGGGATGCTTTTATTGTGAAGCATCAGCAGAGCTTCCTTTCACGTAGTGGGAAAACAGTGTTTTTGCAGTGCTGCTTAGTGGAAAAACGCTGCATGCGTTTACCCTGCTTTGGGGGAAGAAAAAAAAAGAAAAAAGCTCACCTTGATGCAGAAGGTGAAGTCTGTCGGTGCTCCGTATAGTTTACGGCTGTTCACCACAGTGTAGACGTTCAGATCGCCCAGATCAGCCACATACTGCAGGTGACGAGGCTCCTGCACGAAGACACACACAGAACCTCGATTTACTCAAACTAGAGGTCATGTAGTTACTGTGACTAAAGTCTGTGACTGCGCTGGACCTGCTGACCTTGGACGAGCCCTTGCTGGAGCTGTAGAGTCCCGAGCGGCGCAGGAAGAAATAGACCTTCTTCCAGGCCTTTCGACTTGGTTCTTTAACATGCAGGAAACCCTGGATCTCTGGACAGGTCCCAGACTTGAGCAGGTTCTGATGAGTAAACACGACTCATTACTACAGCATTACTGCAGGAACCTCAAATCACATACTTCCATACTTTGAAAGCACTTCAGCACTCAGAGACGCCAAGTACTCAGATGATTTAGGCACGAGTAAATGTGCATTTTGAAAGCATCTCTCTCATATTTTGTTTTAAATAGTTTTAAGAGCAGAGTCAAGGACAATGCTTTTCAGATTGATTAATTAATATATATATATCTATCTCTATATATATCCATCTAGTGTTTTCCTCACAGTGAGGATTACGGCTTTTTAATCCAGCACAGGTATCAAATCAGAACTTGGCTTTGACTCTCGGCCAGCACTACGGTACTGATACTTCATCATAACTGGAGAAAGCCAGATCAGTGCCGAGTGTAGAGCACAGCCAGCCAAGACTGGCAGAATTTTCAAAGCGTTGCAGGTCAGACGACACATTGCAATTTTTTTCTAAAGTTCACACGCAGAGCCCCAAATCTTTAAGCTTTATACAGATTTTCTGTGAGTTAAATCTCTTAGAAACCCAGAGAGTCTGATTTGTTGGTCCTTCTGAATTAATGAAAAAAAAAAAGTCTTGAAATGTGAATTTCAATGTGATTAAAACAATTTAACCAGTCGTTTGGTTTTTCCATGCATCAGTAAGAGGTTTTTTTTTTATTAAAACTTAATTAAAAACAAATACTGGCTTTTTACTTTTTAGTAATATTCATGCTGGACCCATTTCTTTTTTTTTTGCTGTACGCTATCATTCTGATTGAACCTTTGTAAATACACGTGTCATTTTACATTGTCAATTATAATCTTAAGACGTTTTGGTTTCGCAGTGTAAACCACTGAGCAGCAACATTAAACATCATTAAGCTCTGAGCTGACAGATCTAGCAGTGCTTTCAGCGAGCCGTTGTGAATGAGCTTCTGATTTCAGGACGGTTTACCTTAATGAGCTCTGATGACGTCATACCCTTGTTGACATCAGCGCTGTCGGAGATCATGGACTCTGGGAAGAAGAGCTGTGAGAAGAAGCAGAGGACTGTCATTATACCCCTGAAACGATCAGACACTCATTTACATGACAAAGAAGCTTCTTCTCCTCCTGTGACTTCATCATCCAACCAATCAGTGAGCGGGGAACACGACAAACTACACAAAGATAAATATACACCACACCTTCCACCAATCATGATCCTTTGTTCAAGACATGGAGAGAAAAAAAAATGTAATAAAATGAGAGGTGATCAGAAAAAGCCCGAGGTAAATTTCCAGTCGTGTGCACAAAGAAATCAAACTGGTGCCAAACTGGCACTTTCAAAGTGCCCAGAGGGAGACGGCTGCTGTGGTTTTGTTAGCTTAAAACATGCAGGTTTCTGCACGTTCATCAACTTAAATTTAACACTAACGCAGACGGTTAATACCCACTGTGCCCGGAGCGTGAAGATTTGATGGAAAACCAACGAGGAAACATTAAACTCTTATTATTGGCATTAAAATCTCGTTCATATAAAGGAATAACTGCACTCGCAGGACTTGCATAACTGCTATAAAAGATAATTATGCATAAACAAAATTAAAACCCACAAAAGAAATTTCATCATCAGATTTAAAAAAAAAGACTGTTGAAACCATCCAACAGTCTGCAAAGTGAAGCATTTGTTGTAATGTGACCGAGCAAAGATTAAATAAAGAACATTTACTCTGCAGCTTTTGTTTTCAGTGCTGTAGCCACAAATGTGGCTGGATGGGTAATTCCAGCACCAGAGGAAAGAAAATAACACCCATTGTCTGGCAGGTGCTAACGTGCAGAAACGTTTTACACAATCCCAGAAAGGCAAAGTGTCTGCTGGAATCACTGGACTGTGTTACCGACTGATTTCAGTGCAGCATTGAGCAAATGCAGCATTTACAACGTGGGAAAATCCCCACAAACAGTGTTCAGCTCAACACTTCACAGATCCAGAAAGATGGGCCAGATGTGCTGCAGAGGTGGACCAACATCTGACCTGGTCAACACCCGGTGTGCACCCTCTGCTCAAAAGCTCTTGCGATCAGACTCAAGACACCAACAGACAGCTGCAGGAGCAAAACGCCAACCTACGTCAACTGATGGAAAATAACACGAGGCTAAGAGGACAAAGAGAAAAGCTAATAAAGTTTACATAAATTATTTTAAAATCCGATCTTAAAATATCAAAGAAATATCCCCGAGTATATCCAGGGTTTGAACTTAAAATGCACTTCTGGATCTGTAAAATCTACCATGATGAGATGCAGATGTGACGGGACAGCAAAAAGAAAACTACCAAAACAAAGACAAAAGCAGAGATTGCAGATATTAAAATCTATGGCAAGAAGAGGAAAATGCATAACCTGCAATTACACTCACAACTACATGCTACGCATTTAAGGAGGAACTCCAGCCAACTGTACTATGAAATATGAATTTCAAGCCCTGTATATGTATAATAGGAGCAGTTACACCAATTATTTGACATGTACTGAAGAGGAGAGGACAGTTTCCCCAGTCTGCATCCCTGACAGCTCCCCCCCCCTCTCTGTGAGAGGACAGTGTGGTCCAGCAGTGCTTTGGCTTTAAGAAATGTGCAGCTGCAAGTTAATCAGAGGAAACTGGCATTCATATTTAGCCACATTCAGCTTGAGCGCATGGATGCTGGCGTTAGCCACACCATGCAAACTAATGTGACATAATTTAGCAACACTTCAGAGAACGCAGTATTTTCTTACTTTCACTAACATCATCTTTAACTGTGCTTCACAATTTGTTGCTTTATGCAACTGTGCAAGTTTAAGGCCTAAATGTATGATCTTATTCACTCCTGAGCCTTCTGGAGGCAGTGTGGGCACACGTTAGAGAGCTGTGGGACGGGACTGTTTTCAGTGCGTTTCAAGTGTCGTTTCTGTTTAACAGCACAGGTGACAGCGCAGAGTCGATGTAATGAAATATCTGAGGCATTAAGTCAGTGTGTCTGCACCAGCACGCAACCTGACAATCAAGCCACCATGACGTCAGGCCTTATTAACATCCACTGCACCGACTTGTTTAATAAAGACGCTGAAAATACCTCTGCTCAGAGTCTGCTGTTATGCAAGAAGGAAAAAGGGTTATTCATCTTAGAGTTCTCTCTTTAGATTTGCATTGTCACATGGCTTGCTGCATACCATTGGCTTCCTGAAGAACTCGTACTTGGCGTAGTTCTTGCAGAACATAAACCTCGTGTCACCGTTCAGAGACCAGGTCACCTGAACCTCCAACACAACCTCGTGGTCCTCCAGACACCTCTCTGTGGAGACAGGATGAGGTATGAGAAATTTCGACATACCGCGACTAAAAGGTTCATTCACCGCGTCGTCTTACCCAGACCGAGGGTGGGATTGACTTCGAGGAGGGCCCAGTTTTCCTGGTCACTGCAGTGAGCCGTCTGCACCAACATGTGGCACGCCTCCCTGGCTGTGGCTCCTGGAGAAACCCACACCGACCTGCTGTGGCTGTCCTCTCCATACACCACTAAACACACACACACACACACACACACACACACACACACACACACACACACACACACACACACACACACACACACGTCACATCAATAAAATTACCAAAAACATCATGTTTTATCCAATACTTCATACATAATGAAGTCAGCTGATGCTAATATTAATCTTTGTTAAAACAAAATTAGAAACAAAATCTAACTTCATATGATAATATGAAGTCAGATTTAGTTTAGAATTTCCCAGCCTTGCATAACAGAATTGCAGAGACGCCTTCTGTTTTCTGCATTTAGATATTAATTAGCTTTTTAACTTAAAGAAATAAATTACATTTATGAGGGCAGTAATAGGCATTACCTAGGACAGTCAAGAGAGATGCTGCTGGCAGGCCTGGGCACGCTCTCATTGTGAGCTACTGACAGCCAATAAATCTCCCAAGAGACTTAATTTTATAGTTTGAAGTTTCAGACACAGGTTGCAGCTTTTTTTATAGTAGCTAAGTGAGAATTAAAAACTATGAGAAAGTGCACTTTTTACAGGCAACCATGAATATTTGACATAACCTGACGGCTCAGATGGAGCAACGAACGAAACGCTGATTTACTGACAAACTTAAAATCTGTGCTCACAGCTGAACTGTATGATTTGTAGAAGAGCCTCAGTAAGCGTGAGACCCTGACCCATCCCTGTGTTTACGTCCTTGTGCCACATACAGACACTGCTATCATTTCCCCTGCACTTTAAAAAGAAAGGGAAAAAAAAAAAGACCTCATTGATAAGCACGTTCTTATTTAACAGCAGAACAGATGTGATTAAAGCCCATCAGCTCAGATTCCTGAGCATCCATCCTCGGATGTGTCTTGTAGTGGGATCCGTCTTTGCTCCCACCCTCTACATTCACGTTAAGCCACCTGAACTTAACCGCGATAGGTCACCGAGTTAAGGGAGGAGCAGAAGAACGCTCCGTTTTAAGAATTCAGTGTGAGACTCAGCTTTGAGGTTCATATTACCTCCAATTACACACTTGCCGTACCACCTAGTGACAATTATCACAACCACATCAGGCAATAAAACTAATAACCAGATGAGGGAAATAGATCAGTGTTGGATTTGGAATGAGCCAATGAAAACTGCTTTTTAAAAGCAGCATTTAGGATCCTGGAGAGAGTCTGCAGATGCTCTGCTCGTATCACCACTGAGGTGCTAGACGCTACGTGCACAGTATGATATCAAGCTCACTGCTGGCACCACTGGCTATACCTGTGGAACAACTGTAGTGCGAGGTAAAAACAGCACTGAGACGCAAACAAGTGCGCTACACGGGTCTTGCAGCTGGTTTTGGCACCGTTTCAACATCAGCGCATTCGAGACAAGCAGCCAAGATCCTGCCAACTGTTGTGCAACGTCAGACAGCCACAATGTATTTAATAAGCCTTGACACTTAAATTGAAGGACTTTTAAATTCTTCCTAATTTTAGTGTGACATGAGCGAGGCTTGTTTTAGTCTTCATCTTGTTTGCATCTTAACTTTGAGCATCTACACCGCAGGCTTCAGACCCAATCCTCTCCCATCTTCATCTGCACACGCTGAAGTAAACAGACCGATGAAGCAGTCGTGTCCATGCACTCCCGATGCTGCTGAGGTGAACCGAGTGCAGGCTATTCACCGGTCAGGATGAGACAGAGCGCTGCTGTCTGACACTGTCTGGATCTCGCAGCACGCTTTCAAGCAAAAGACAACGAACCTGCCCGACCAGAAACCCCTGAAACCTGCGCCTGTCAATCAATTATGTCCAGACTGGTTGGGCGAGTGACTGCGTCAGACATAATAAATAGGTACCCATCGACCAAGCGGGATAATGGGGGAGGAAAATTCTTTTAGCTGAAATCCCCACAGGTCAGCATCCAGTCAGTCCACTGACTATTCACTCGGCTCATTTGAAAAAGATAAATACATACGTTTCCGTATTTAAGACACAAAGCTCATGATTTTATCTTTTAATCCAAAAGGAACTGGTTTCACTGGTTTACTACCAACACCTTTACACTCATGCACATGTGCGCTAATGGAAAGCAAAGAGTGAAGACTATCCTCTATGCTAGTCATTCATAACCTCCAGATCGCCACAGCCCATTTGGAAAGCTGAAAATCTTCTGCAGCCCACACGCAGCTGACTCACGACTCTGTTCACGAGCTTTTGTGTTTCCAGATTCATTTCAATCTCATCCCTCGTTTGTTTCTTTTCAGGTTAATGCTCCATTAACGACTTTGCATCCTGCGCTGGTTTCGTTTTTCCTGCTACTGATGGGATCAAAAACAGGTCAGGATGCATCGTTTTTACCAAAATTAAAACTACTTTTTAAATTAACTGTTTGATGGCTCAATGTTACCTGTGCATTTGAGTTGATCATTTCATTTTCAGAATTGCTGGAAACTAAAATGGTAAATTAAATTAAAACCCAATTAATCAGCTTGTGCAAACATCCTCTGCTTTCCCTGCCAGCACCAGATGTTTAACCAGCTGCAGGGAGTCAGAAATTTACCAAGGTCCAACATGGATACGTCCCGGCTCAGAGACGGTGTGTTGGAGGAACAGAGTTCAGGTTTCTTTGCAGGACAGTCAAGTTCTTCCACAGCAAAGTGGAAAAAGGATTTATTATTTATGGGAGTGCTTTTGGCCATTTCTTGTGTCTGCATGACTAAACTCCTGTGCACAAATTGTGGCCTCAAAGCTGGACTCACACTCTCTCGCTCAGCTTCTTGATCTGGATGAACTCACCATTCTGTGATTTTACAGATGGCAGCAAAGATCAGCTTTAGTTTCAGTATTTTATCGCTTTGTGTGGAGCTGCTGGTGATGGATGGGAGCAGCTGAAAAGATTGTTTTCTTCCCCTTTAAGCTTGCTGAGCAGGTGGTGTGACAAAAAGACTTTCACTGGGTTTTTGATTGTGATACGCTAATGAAGCGCGTCTGCTGTCGAACCTGAAAATAAACTTTTTTCACTCCACCTGGGTTCACCGTCCCAGTCATGGCACCTCTGTGCTGCTGGCCATGTGTAAAAGGAGGCAGGCTGCAGCTTCATCTTAAAGCCCACGCAGAGTCACACTCAGTTTCATTAACCTCAAACGATTCATTTAAAGAGAAGGAAGTCTACTGACTATTGGGACATTGATTTTGTTGAACCCTGGAAAGACCTGAAGACGGCCTCAGGGGAACAAAAAGTTAAGTCACGCCGAGTGCATTTCAGCTCACGCAGACGTCACTCAAATCGAGGGTGACAAAAGGTAAGAGCATCAATGTTTTCTGGTGGAATATTCAGAAAAAAGTGAAGTAATAAATTCAGTCCACAGCTGGCTCGTGCAAAACGCTGACATGCTGATGTAACTGCAGACATGTTTACTCTGGCAGTGTTTGTGATTCAAAATAAGTCCATGCAGGCATGGCAACATAGCTCTGCTGTCAGTCACAATCAGACAGGTAAAGGCTCCGTGTTCTGATAGCACCTGTCAGCCAAGCAGGTGTGATGGAATTCACTCAGTAGAAGCTCCGATTAGCCCAAACAAACACTTCCTAAAAGTACAATAAATCCCATGAAAATAAAAGACCTAAACCAACAAAGTGTTTCTTCATATCGTACTTTCTAACTCCTCTGGCCCGACTCTGGCACTCAGCCGCAAGTGAAACTGAAATTACAACCTAATGTAGAAAAAAAACACGGGAGGATCCACTGGGGACAGCTTTCAAAGGTGGATTAATGATAATTTGCCTGCAGAATTGTAAAACGTATTCTTTTAAAAGGCATGACTGAAAGTCTGAGATGAGGTTTGAATTCAGGGAAACTGAAAATTGGGAATGAGAGGATTAAACATGCAGTGCTCACTTTAACAAAATAGTCAAAATAAAGAGACTTTAGAGCTATTAAAACACAAAAAGAATACTTACTACTGGAAACATTTAAAGGGTTACCTTGGATCTCTGAATTAGCTGATTAGGAAGGACACTTACATGTTTGTCACTCGACTGTGGTGGAAATGAACTGATGAGCACCGGAGATTTGGAAAGCTCAGGGAACGGGTTTGGTATGGACGGGACGGAGGAAGAGAACGACTCCACGCCCTTCGCCCTGAAACATTCAGACAGAAAGAACACAACGACATCAAAATGAGGCAAACTCAGAAAAACTGACAAATAAGCTCATTGTGCAGTTAAATGATAAGCCTGGTAATGTTCTATATTTATCTTGATGACAAACATAAAACAATCTACTGTAACAAGCATGATGCAGACACAATGAAGCCGATTATATTCATATCTATTGGGACTGAGAATTGAGACAAATGAATCCCAACAAGTCAAGTCTCACGTGTTTGAGACAGAAGTTCACGTAGCTAACTGCAGCGTGCACATAAACTCAACATGACAGGTCGCCCCCTGCAGGCCTGCACTCATATTGCAGGTTGATCAGACATTGAGAGGTCAGGTAAGGTACCAAGACAACATTCATTAGCAGCCAGTCATCGTATGTGGTGATGAGCAGCTCGAGATCCTAGGTGGGGTCTCCCTTTAGCCTGAGATTACAGGTGGTTTGCAATACCAAGCAGGATTTGAGACTTAGTGAGGTTTAAGCCTGGGTTTTCATGGGTGCTCACTTATTACCACATATATCACCATGTTAACTTATGCTGCAGACCTATCTGCTAAAGAACAGGTTGCGTATAAAAGCCTCATCTCATGATCAATCAGGAAAAATCTTGTCATAGTTCCTGGAATATTCCTCTCACCCAGATGTGCAGACTAAGATGATAACTGTTCAAAACCATGATAAACCTAAAACGGGGCGCCTCAGCCTTGCACCTGAATTTCTATAAAACTTGCCAGGTCTAGTCACAGCTCAGCTAAAACTTGTAAGCAACACATCAATTAAATCGAATATTAAACCATGAATAGTCTGGATTTCTTCCCAGGTTTCATGGGAATCATCCCCGTCACCCTATTAAGTCTCAGCTGACACAGCTGGATTCTTTCCTTTAGTTTTAAAGTCACGTAAATATTTATGCGCCACTTTTCCAAGTGCACTCCTCACATAGTGCTGTATTTGCTGTGAGATTTCCAGCTGTATAACATGCTTTTACCTCTTCTGCTCATGCAGAGTGAAGAGGGGAGGAGACAGGTCAGATAATTTACAGCTGGAGGGGAAAGTGAAAGAGAGGCAGACAGATGCTGTTATCTAATACTGTTTTAGCTGTTGGGCTGATATCAGCCCACTCATGGACACTAATAAAGCTAAATGATTCATAATCATGTGGGGGGAGGGGCCTATATTCTTTCTCCCAACGCTGGAAAGAGGAACCCGTCTCCTCTTCCTGATCTTGCCTAATGTGGAACACCTATTCATTTTACTGCGCTGACACCGAGGTGATGACATCTCTGCATCATGAGAACGTCGCTCTCTTTGTCTTAGCTCATCCATCAAGCCGTGATAAAGAACCCCAGCAAAGAAAAGTAGTCAAACAGCACCTGTGTGACATCTACCCACTGACAGCTCGCAGTATTTATTACGTCTTTAAGCCTGGGAGGAACAGAAACTCACTTCTTTAAACATCAGATGACTCTTGAGTCACTGACTTGAGTCAACATCCACCTCCTTCTTCATGAGTTTAATGATTCATGTCCATGGTGTGTGTGTGTGTATTGAGCAGTCACCGTGACTAATGTGTGTGCTGGTCGTACCTGTTTGAGGTAATCAGGATGGGTTGGGAGCGGCGGATGGATGGCGAGTCCGATACCAGAGGAGCCAGAGTGAGAGTAGAGCTGCCCAACAGCGTCTCGGACGATTCCTCCTTCGTCTCTGAGCCCTCAAACACTTCTGACCATGAACCTGCCACCTCCATCATGTTACCTGAGGGCAAAGGTGAAGGTCAGCCCTCAGTCACAGGCTGCTCGAGAGCTCAGGTTTATTATTATAGCCGATGTCGTCCTTGTTGCAATGAGCTTGCTGGTGAAATCCACATGCAAAATACTGCTGACCTTTACTCAGACAGAGGGAGTGTTCCAAGTGCTAAATGTATACTTAAAGCTTCATCAGCCAGCTGTACGTCACAAATGTGAGATTAAGCATAACAACATTTGTGCTGCATTATTGGAGCGATATTAATAGAAACAGTAAACACTTCCTGCTGATTCCAGATTTTCCATCCATTTATTTTTGACTACCCAAATCAGGGTCATGGTTGGGCTGGAGCCAGCTGTCATACGGCATTCGCACCTACAGCCAGTTTAGGATTAAACCATCATGGATGTTTTTGGACAAACTTTACATTATTTTGTATATATCCAGTATTTTTCATTAGCTATTGTTTCAGGATTATGTTCTATATTGATGGTTTAGTCAAAACATATTGACTAGATACAATTTCAAGCCCATTTTCTGTCTTACTTATGTTGGCCTTGTCTAAAAGTTTAAGCCTGTAGGGTAACAATCTCTTGTATCTGCCTCAATTTCATTCATTTCACCAAAACTACTTTCATAAGTTTTTCAAAATAAAAGACAGATTATGCCACTGCCATTCAGAGGTACTACCTACTTTATTAGGAACACCTGTTCATCGCCTCACTAACACAGACAACAGCGGAGGTTCTTTATAATTTACAGATTATGATCTGAAAGGGAGAAAACGTTCAGTAAGCAGCGGTTCTCTTGGTTACATGATCAGTGCTCAGGTAGGCTGTGGGCTTTAGACAGCGACAGGGCTACGAAGTGTTCAGAGCACCGCGAGTCACCACATGTCAGTGAACACGTCACAGACGAGCAGCTGGTCCAAAAATTATCTCCACACTTCAGTTAAATATAATTTCTTTGTTTTGAATTAAAATCTTCAATATAACACCAAGATAATAAGTGCAGAAAAATAATACTGCTTCACTTCCTAATAACAAGTACTGAAATGTGTATGCCTGCACTGAGATATCACCAAATAAAAAAATAAAAAATTAATAAAACCACACAACCTCAAACGTTATCATTTATAACCTCAGGGAATACTTAAGCTTCTCTCTTCTTTTTAATTCATGACAGCAATATTAGAAAGGAGGTTTAGTTTTTAACCATATGTTGACAAACTACTGCACATAGAGGTTTGTTTTTCAGATCTGCTGCTGATCTCCGGAAGCTCTTTTTGTCACCATGTTTGTGCAAATTGGCGATAAACAAAATACCTCTCATAACATGACAACAATTACACGCATTAGCATACAATACTACTAGAACAACAGCTCGGTTGAGTCATGTTTGTCTTTCTGAAAATAAACCTGCGTGGCAGACAGCCCGAGATAAATGTGAACCTGATTTTCCACAAACACCTACTGCTGCTGCGCACCGTCTGAATATGAAAACAGATTTCCTTATAGGTCGCTGAACATTTCCGTAAACACCCACACCGTGCTGCAACAGAGAGCACTGATTTGGTTTGTATCAAATAAAAGAAATCATGAAGTTTTAGTGTCGTTTTGTTTGTTTTTTTAAATCATTTGCATTTTCAGGACAGGGTCTGTGTGGAGTTCACATGTTCTCCCCGTGCCTGCGTGAATCCTCTCCGGCTTCCTCACACAGTCCAGAGACATGCAGTTACTGGGGATAGGTTAGTTGGTAACTAAATTGCCCATAGATGTGAATGGTTGTCTGTGTGCGTGTGTTAGCCCTGCAACAGACTGGCGACCTGTCCAGGGTGTACCCTGCCTGTCGCTCTAAGACAGCTGGGATAGGCTCCAGGCTCCAGCACCCCCCGCACCCATGAAAAGGATCAGCAGAAGAGGATTGATGGCATTTGCATTTTTTCCTGGAGCTGAACCATTTTAAACAAAAACAGTTTAACATTCTCTCAAAGATCTCTTCTCAAACTAGTACTGATTGCCACTAATAATTGAAGTTCCCGCTCGGATACTTTAGGATTTTATCAAATACAAACCTCTTAATCATTTATAAGCAAAATCTAGAAAAAAAAATTTACAGGTTCATAAAAGCTGGAAAAGCAGGGTTAATACAGTTTTACTATCATTGTATTTACTTTGAGTTCACCGCTAACAAGGGTTTCTTTTTTTTTTTTAAGTTTCATATTTAGCTGGTGGAGAGGTGCTAGCCATGTGATAGACATCTTACACAGACATGTCTATCTTCTAAGACTTTTGTTTATTCTGAAATGCTAAAAACATTTCCTCCATACTTCTGCCAAGATTTATGTTGAACCATCAGATACAACTTTCTGTTGCTCCGTCTAATCTAGTTTATTTTTATTTTAGTGAACCGATCTTTGCTCCTTGAATGATAATCTGCCAGAGCACATTCATTCACATCAGGCAACATCTCACTTTAATAATTCTGCATTAGTTTGCCAACGGGTCCAAAAAGTGTCGTGCAAAAAGCCGTCTGCAGCAAACCGACCAGACAAATATAGCTGTGACGCTTCTCATAAACACTTTTCCTTGATCATGATGAAAAAAAAAGTCGTGAGATCAAGGAAAGGTGAGAAGGATAACTCATAAAGACGTGAGGAAACAAAAACTAAAAAGGAAAGAATCTTTCTGCGCTTGCATGTTACTGACGTCAAACTAAAATCCAGGAGGTGAATCTTCGATACTTTACCCACTGAGTTTTTACTGGCTTTCCTGAGCCACTGGTGAAAAATACCACTTCACTGCCAGAGCTGTAATTTCGAATAAATAGAAATTATGATAGAGAGCAGCTCCTGCCTTCATTCAAGCTTTCTGTGCCTGAAGTTAAATTCATGCAACACTTAAATCCAGGTTAAAACTAATACTAATTTTTAAGGTTGAAACCATATCAGTGGGTCACAGCATGAAAGGGAAGCGAAACCAAACAAAACTGCAAATTAACATTTGCATGATCTGTGTCACTGATCACTGTAAGAAAGCGAACATATGTACTATTGGATGGCATCACCTCTTTTCCTTGCATTAAGGAGGATCCAGTATATCCTCTGCTAAAGGACGCAACAAAGAAAGCATTGGAGTACCTTACAATTTTATCCCAAAATAAGATTTCACTATTACTTCCACCATCACAGCTCTCATACACACCATCTCTAGTTTGAAGCAGCCTAGAAGTCTCCCCTGCTCTCACTGCGAGGTTCACTGTGGTTCAGAGTTTTGCTTCATGACATTTCAAGCAAACCACCATCAATTGTACCATCGGCAGTAAACCTGCTCCACCACCTCGCTGCTGTCACTGTTTTACACCTCAGATTTGATCTGAATTTTATCACGCTCCTGTCATTTATCAGATTTCTCATTTTAAAATTATGCCAAGCTGCCAATTAAAGGCCTTCGAAACGAGGTTTGTTTCCAATTTGAAAACTTGACTCGTCACTTTTGACACGCATTTTTTATGATTCATATTCGAACAATTAGACATTGTCCTCTCTCAGAAAAGCCCTGAATGTCTACGCTGTACAGACACAGTGAACCCAGAGCACACTGACTGGGTTTATTGTCTCCTTGTTATTGCCATGCAGATCGCGTAGCAGGTGACGAGCTGTGCTGCCAGTCTGCAGGTTTTTTTAAAAAACACCATCCTTACATCAGAGCCGGGGTATCCGAGCATTGCCTTTATTCTCAAAACAGCAGATCAATAACACTGCCCTGTTCAAACACAGACACCCAGTGTGCAGCGGTTAGTGGTGCAAAATCTCCCCAGTTTGAAAGAGCCATGTGTGAACAGGTGTACACGCGTTTAAAGAAGAAAAGCACCGGTGGACCTCAAAGCAGCTGAATGAAATCTGCAACTTCAAGTCAAGGGCTGCCAACACTATTCATCTGCTTGAAATGGCGTGTGTGCACGCGAAAAATCCCCATCACTACAAATAAAGTACCACAAACCCGAGTTACACATTAAAATATCAAAGTATTCATTTCAGACTGCAAAAGAAACAAACCCTCACCGAGTCACGTCTGATTGACTTCACTGTTAAGAAAGGGCCTTCTCACAATACAGCAGAGCAGTTTAACTGTATCAGCTGCAGACTGATTACTACTAAAATAACAGTTTAAATCTGGCTAATTTTCATAATTCATTCGGCAACAATTTTCTGGGGTCTTTAAAATATCTAACAGATAAAAGTCTCAAACCTCTGAAGCTCATTAGTTAATATATCTGATTTTGTATCATTCCTTATTAATAAGGGGCAAATCATCCCATTCTGTTAGCGAAGTAGTGACCCCGTTTCTCCATAATCAAATTTCCCTCGAATAAATGCTTCACCAGTGGCAAAATTATTCATTTCACAGTTTAAGACTTGATTTTTAAGGTTGTTGGTTTTTTTTTGCCACATTTAGGTAGTACGGAGCCCCCCAGGGGACATGGGAGAAAAAAAAATTGGGGAGGAAAAAAAAAAATTAAGACGGACTTTTGCGAGCGCTCGCAAAAGTATTGCGAGCGCTCGCAAAAGTATTGCGAGCGCTCGCAAAAGTATTGCGAGCGCTCGCAAAAGTATTGCGAGCTGCAATATCGAGCCCAAAAGTATTGCGAGCTCGCAATTGCGCTAAAAGTATTGCGAGATCTCGCAAAAGTATTGCGAGATCTCGCAAAAGTATTGCGAGATCTCGCAAAAGTATTGGAGCGTCGCAAAAGTATTGCGAGCGCTCGCAAAAGTATTGCGAGCGCTCGCAAAAGTATTGCGAGATCTCGCAAAAGTATTGCGAGCGCTCGCAAAAGTATTGCGAGACTCGCAAAAGTATTGCGAGATCTCGCAATAAGTATTGCGAGTCGTCGCAAAAGTATTGCGAGATCTCGCAAAACTCCAACAATGGCGGCAGCTACTTAGTTGTAATATTACTCTTTCTGGGTCACAAAATACACTTTTAAGATATTTTGAGGCGTGAATGTAGTTGTGTAAACGTCAGATACCTGCTCGGTTTACAAGACATCACATATTTGCAAAAGAGCTCCGAGGTTTTTGGAGATCTGACACCCACTAGCTCGAAGCTAACGGGAGGTCGAGACCTACTACAGCCGGGAGGAACACCGCTTTCCCGGCACATCGTGCCTCGACCTCCCGGTCGGCTTCGAGCTGGCGGCCTCCGAAGAATGCGGCTAAAACTTTTGCGAGCGCTCGCAAAAGTTTTGCGAGCGCTCGCAAAAGTTTTGCGAGATCTCGCAAAAGTCAGTCTTATTTTTTTTTTTCCTCCCTAATTTTTTTTTTTTCCGCCCTAATTTTTTTTTCTCCCATGTCCCCTGGGGGGCTCCGTAACCTCAGATGTGATTGATCATTTATCATGGACACACATTGCAATATACTCGTTCTATGAAATATCTCACTTGTAATGATTTAACTTGTGAAAATGACATTTTATTGATTGATTTATTAGGATAAATAAGCCCAACTTCCTTTACAACTACTAAAAGTCGGAATGAATTATAATCCAACAGTACAGTTTACAGTAGGCCAATGATAAGGCTCCTCTTATAGATGCAGTACCTGAAACATGCCGACACATGGAGGGAAAGCACTTATCACTGATTGGCAGTGTAGGCGTTTATCCGCTAACTCTGAAGAAACACCATTTCATAATTTCCCATTAAAGCTTCGACCTTATGTTAAGAAATGTGACACATTTATCTGTAGGCGTCAGTGAAACTGCCAGCAAACGTAACACCTGTGAGGTACAGATGTAGCGCTAGAACTTAATACTAAAATTAAGAAAAATGTCTTAAACGTTTTTATTTTGTCCAATTCATTCAGTTATTTAGTTGAAACCAGGCCAATGATAAAGTCGGCCACCATCGGCTAAACCCATCCCTAGATGTAATCTTTTATTGGCGAAATCACAGTGCGCTCAAGGGAAGGAATTCATTTCACAAGTCACACTTAAACCCTTAAAGCTTATCCCGGGGAATGTTTGGGTCCGTTCACAGCCTCTTATCACATCTGTAAATGAAAAGAGAGCCAGCTGTACAAACTGACAGCAGCAATTAAGTCCCAAATCACAGCTAACACAGGCGAGGCGTAAGCGCCGTCACAGAACTCCATAGTCAAACTGTGGGATAATCGCCCACGTGCTTTTCTATAACATCAGTCCAATTGAACACAGCTGTATTTCATTAAGACAAAAACAGTGATCAATTCGGTCAAGTTCGGTTGACTACACGAGTCATTTTAACATTATTTGGGAAATATTTGTTTGTTAGGTAAATAAACTGATTTCTCAAGTCCACCTTAAAGCCTTCAAGCATGGACTCGGGAATCTTTGAGTTCTCTCGACACATCGCGCTTCTTACCGCATCTGCAAACAATAAATAACGAGCTGTGCACCCTGGAAGCCCCAATAAGGCCCGAACTCAAGCCGACACAGGTGAGTTCTAGGCACGGCGCCAGAACTCTATAATGAAACCACGAAAAAAAAAAAAAATGGTACAAGTGTCTTTACAAAGTGTCCGTCTAATTAAACACATAAGTAATTAGTTTAAATTGAGCCAACGGCCAGTTCGGCTGACTCCTTGACTTAATATAAAGCTTCATACGTGCTACAAAACCAGCCTGCACCTGTTCTGACAACCAGTTACCATCGTTGAAGACTTACCTGTAAACTCCGTCTGTTAGGTTGGCGGGTTTCAGCTGTCAACCATACTGTTAATATCCTACTCTGATGCTGAGCTTCGCGTTTTTCTAACCCACGGCAGCCAAACAGAAAGCCGATAACTGCGTATGTGTGCTAAAGAGGTGAGAGGGGGAGGAGCCAGTGCGTCAGGTGTGCACGGTGGCCCCTCCCCCTCCCTCGCCGAGGCCCTTGCTGCCGTTTACGGATAAAAAAAAAAACAGTTTAAACATGTCTGTACCTTCCGGGTTCATGTACTCTTGTGCCATTTTTATTTCTCCTGGAAAATACCAAGACACTTACATAAAGCAGAGAGTACAGAATCAAACCTGAACACAGAATATTCTGAGCCAGTAAAGCAGGGTGGACTCAGGTAAAAGGAAAGAATTTGAGGAGAAATCTCTTTTGATGGGTAGTTTTACCCATGATTCATAGATCAAATGGTCATTTTGCATCCAGAGCCTCTTGTTTTACTATAAAGTTTTACTTATTTCACACGTCCCTTGGGAGTGTCTCTGCAGTTTTTCCACGTCTAGTTTTACTTCCTTTATGCATCTTTCCATTACTCTGTGTCACTTTGTGGTTATTTGTGCCTCTGTGCATCCCAGTTGTGAGGTCTCATTTTTTAATTGTAAGTATTTTGTATCTGTTTTGAGAATTTTCCATCTCTATGGAGATGTTTTGTATCATCTCTGCATTTTTATATCGTTTTAAATCACTTTGCATCAGTTTTGTTATTATTTTCTCTCTTTCTGTCTCATTGTGATATTTTTATCCTCGTGTCACTTTGTGATCATTTGGGCCTTTTTGTCTGCTCTGCCTTACTTTGTGTCTGCTTTTTGCATCTCTCTGCTCATTTTGCATGCAGTTGTGTAACCCAGCTTTTGTTGCTTTGCATTACTTTAGTTATTCTGCACCTCTTTTGGCTCGTTTATAGCTCTATGCAGTTTTTTGTGTCTCTAAGTAGCTCTTTGTAGCACTATAGTTAGCTTGGATAATTTTGTGGTCACTTTTGAGTGTCGTTGTGTTTGCATTGCATCTGTTTATCTGTAGCTATTTTGCATCTTTTTGCATTAATTGTATGCCAGAAAAGTCTCTTTAACCTTCTTAGAGCAGAGGCCCAACTAGAAGAGCAAGAAAACGTGGCCTTCTTTGTCCACACGGGAACCAGAAATCTTTGCTGGTTTAATATTAAAAGTCACTGATTGGCTGCCTTTACTGTTTAAAGCAGGGGTCCCCAATCCCAGTCCACGAGGGCCGGTGTCCCTGCAGGTTTTAGATCTCACCCTGGGTCAACACACCTGAATCACATGATTAGTTCATTACCAGGCCTCTGGAGATCTTCAAGACATGTTGAGAAGGTAATTTATCAATTTAAATCAGCTGTGATGGATCAAGGACACATCTAAAATCTGCAGGGACACCGGCCCTCGTGGACTGGGATTGGGGACCCCTGGTTTAAAGGTTCCATCCAACTTCATCCAGCAGTTTCAGGATTGATTTATTTTCATTTACTGCATATACAAGGCTTTTATATTTTAAAGTAGTATTTTTGCTTCATTTATCAAAGTTGAACTTTTTAAAAATATATATGTGAATAAATTATCTCACAATTTAGTCAAGAAAATAACTGGCTAGAAAAAAACCCAGATTTGGGCACTTTACTTTTTATTATTTTGATATTTTAACATCTGAAACTTAATAGTGAATAAAAATGAACAATCTGGGCCTTTTTTGTGTTTCATATAAACTAATAAAAACTTTGTTTTTTGCTTGTTTGTTTTTACCAGACACCAAAATGCTTTTTCTGCCTTACTTATGACCAATAGCTTCTATTTTATAGTTTCATTCTCACTCAGACTGGAACTCTAGTCTGCAGTAGGCCTGCATGTACGTGACTGTGTATGTTTGTCTCCACCTAGAGGTTAAATCTGGAGGCTGGAGTTTTCTGTTCAAAGTTTAACCAGCAGTTTAGTCCTGGTTACATTTTTACAGACTGCTGTCAGAGCAAGAAACAGTTTAAAGAAGACATTCAACAATCAAAGTTAAAATTTCATAAACAAATTCATGTTTAAACTTAAAGGAAACACTTCTGCCTCTGCAGGGTAATTATGCAAACCTGTGCCTTCACAGTAATTTCACATCATGAATGCAGCAACTTAATTTATTAAATCTTTTTCTCTTCTCTTTTAGAAAGGTTTGCTGTTATTTCCTGATAGATTAAGAATTCCCACAGTTCAGTCAAACGCAGACTTTGTGCTGGCGAAAGAAAATTTTAAGAAGTGCGTCTGAGTAAACCCAACAGGAACAGAAACGCTGTCCTGAAGAGAAAACAACCTAGTATATCTTTCTTTTCCTGGTTAGTGTTTCTGCAGCCAGCAGCCACATCAGCAGACAGACGTTTTTACTATATGGAGAGCCAAACTGAATGAATTAATATTAAGACGCGTTTCCTTTATTTTGCATCAATGACAGGAACCCTCCTCTGTACAGTCATCAACACATTTTGACAGCATAACATCACCTTCAGTTTGCAGAGCCATATGTTTTAGATAAAATATATCAATCACTCCTACTTTACATAAATATTTAAATTAGGTGAAATTTAACTTTGGAGAATAGATTGCCTGCATTGCAACTCATCCTTACCTCCATAGATCCCATATTAAAACGTTTAATTTGACAGCAAAAACAAACTCGTTTGCAAAAAGGTTTTGGCCTCAATGGATATTTCCTCGCTTTATGGCAACTGAAAAGGTTAGCCACCGAGCATAGTGTGGTTTATCGTCCTAACTGTAATAATCAGCATAACTCAAAAAATGAGCTTTGTTTTTACTCAGTATGACTTGAAATGAATAATTGTGCCCATAAAACCACCAGAAAAATGTTGAGCAAGTCACCTGAGTAGCTCCACATTTAAAAAACAAAACAAACCCACCAAACACCCTTCCTGGAGAAAAAAATTCCAAGGGATTTGCATCCCTTCTCTGGATCTCCTGCTTGTTAAACACTAGTAGTGTGCACCACCACACTGTGAACCATGTGGACAAAAAAAACAAAGCTGACCAGATTTGGGCGCCATCTAAGGCCTGAACTTTCACAGGGATTGCATCATTATTACAACCTTGTTTAATGCAAAGATCCACTACTGTAACACATGAGAAAATAAAAAGCCTCTCCAACAGCTGTTGGATCAAATCATGTTTATTAATGTGTTCAGGAAATCCCCACAGAAACAGTTTATAGGGGAACTTACAGATTTACAATCATTCTTGACAGAAGTGCCAGCTCTAACCCCCATGGTTCAACACTGAGGACGACCAGCTAACTGCACACCCATTCCCCTCAACAGGTCTACCACCAAGTCCTTCCAGCTCGCCGACGAGCCTCCGACAGAGTACTTACTGTGTTGGTCTTTCTGCCTGTAAACACCCAGACGTCTGGACCGTTCACAGTTATAGAGAGCCTTCATTATTTTATTTTTTATCATGGTTTTTTTTTTTTTGGTGCCAATCCTTCATCCCGACCAGGAAGGGGGGGAAAAAAAAAAAAAAAAAAAAAAAAAAAAGATCACACACAGCTGGATGCTTTCAGACTTTCAAAATAAATGTGCCAACCGTTGGTGAGAAGAAAAAAACTCGTCTGAGGCCCTCGGGGATGCACTTTCTACTTCCATATACAGGATTTGTCATACTGCTCAAATGCATTTGGTTCAGCAGTCAAAGTACAAATAGAAATGCTAAAACTAGTTACAGAAAAAAAAAACATGTAACATCTCTTTAAAGGAATAACATGTGACGCCTGTGAATGTATTAGGACACCTGCCTCAGTCTGAAGTGTGCGAAATGTCCAACACCTTGTATCTGGCATGGAAACACTGAAGGTCATCTCCAAAAAAAAGAAAAAGAAAAAGAAAAAGGAAAATCCTAATTTAATCCCAGGATTTAAACGCCAGCAACCCAAAGTCAAGAATTGCATATTCTCGTAGAGTTTAATTTTTTAATTTTCTCTTCTTTTGTGCTTCACGCTCTCACTTAGTGGTGGGAGGGGAGAAAGGTAGTGTTCACTGGAGAACCATTGCTAAGAATAATCTTTTATATTCCAATATAATAATAATATTAATAAAACAAACAGCATGATTTTCAGATGACACCAGAATGATCAAGGATGGGATTTTCTCTTTTCTTACTTTTTTTTTTTTTATTTTCCATTTTTTGTTTTTTTGTTTTTCCATTTGCTTCGACCTGATACAGGTTAAGATGCAATTTACTGAATCTCTTGGTGGGTTTGAGGTCTCAAAAATCAGATTAAAATGAACACCTAAGCACTGAAGGTGGGAGGGAGGGGGGCATTTCTAGTCAACATAGATATATTCTACAGGGAGGAGTGGGGGGTTGCACCCTTGCTCTTTCTTTGCCGTATGAAAACCGTGCTTCCTCTGAAGAGTAAGGGCGGGGCAGAACAGGGTCAAGGTGGGGGGGCCGTGCAAGACAGATTAGGTGAGGAGGGGGTAGGCCGAGCAGGGCAGAGACTGAGTTTGGTGGATGGAGAGAGAGAGAGAGAGGGGGGGGCTTGAAAACCAGACTGCTGATTCCACAGGAGGTGTGTAAAAGGCACGCCAGGGTTACTCCCAATCCCAGCCAGCATACACAGAGACGCCTTCACACCCACACATCCACACAGGCATACACACCCACAGCCACACGCACACACACAAGCAGCACAGGCTAGAGCCCCAAGAGGACAAGGAGGAAGAGAAAGCAGGAGGAAGGCGTTGAAAGAAAGAGCCGGGGCAGAGGAGTTAGAGGGGCGCAGAGGGGGGCCTGAATCCGGTGCTGCCGCTGTGTCGAAACAGAAAAAAAATAAACAACAAACAAACAAACGAAAAAATAATAATTCAAAACTGCTGGAATGGATCATTTCTGGTTCTTCAGCTGGTTGGAGAGCCAGTCGAGGCCCTCATACAAGCCGTCTCCGCTGGTGGCACAGGTGGCCTGGATGTACCAGCTGCGCTGGCGGAGGGCGTGCAGGCCCAGCTTGTCTGTGATCTCTGCAGCGTTCATGGCGTTGGGGAGATCCTAGAGGGAGAGGAAACAGCCAGTTATGATGCAGTT